ACTGTTCAATCAAAGACTAAAATGGATATTCTCAATCCAATCAACCCTGCAAAATGACAAACATCCCTTTCACTGTGTGCCTCGTGATGGATGAGCGGCGGGGTGTCCCCTTGACCTCTGACGTGGTTCACCATGCCTGAGATACTGGACCAATGTTTGTCAAGTGAGATGATATGACCGGTCACCTTCTCTCAAAGGTTACCCGGTCATTCTTTGTGCTCAACCCGTCTCTGGTCTTCTAGATTGTTCCTTGTAACATTAGGCGACATTTTGGCTAACGCCCAAAATGTGACCGGTCACTTTTTAGTGGAAGTGACCGGTCAACTTTTGACCTGTCCCAATCGAAGAGTTAACTTCATTTGATGATTGATGAAAGTGACCGGTCATATTTTGACCTGTCCCTTTCGGTTGTCCGGGTCGGGTATAGGAATATACCCATCAATAGAAGATAAAAAATAATTATTTATGAAAAAATACCCATAAAAGAAGGATCACTAAAGTAATATTCCGTATTTAATAATAAAGGAGTACTAAATAAGAAAATCCCATGTAATAAAGGACAATGTAATTTATAGAGCCATGTTAGGGGTACACCAAAGATGTACCCCATTTGTCCTCCACTCCTTTCTCTATCACTCATTTTAACCCCATTTTTATTTATTTATTTTTTTTAATTTCTTGCACATTTTTGTGGTAATGGAGAAGGCGAGGGACAAATGGGGTACATCTTTGGTGTACCCCTAACATTTTTCTAATTTATAATCAAATTAATGTGACAAAATGGATTAGGCTCGTGGGGAAAGAATTGGCCCACCCATGCTAACCTTTAGCTAGGGTTTACTCTTCACGTCAATAAATAAAGCCAAATGGATACCCGCATCATGAAATCTTGGACCGATGACCAGGGATCAAATCCCGCAAGCGGCAGTGTGGGAGCTATCCAAAAATTCTATAAAGGGTGAGGAGGCTCCTTGTGTGCGGTGGGCATGAGTCTAGCGTTCTTGGCCGACTGAGTCACCATGATCCTCCACCATTCCTCCGCCGCGGGAAGGGGTGGGGGCGCGTGGGTTGTGCGATTATAAAGCCAAATGGATATTCATTTTCTATACATTATCCAATAGACGAAATCTCATCCGTCCCAATTCCCAATCATTCAGCCATGGGCTCCCGCTACAACAAGAACTACTCCTCAGCGCGCCGCAGCAGTACTCCGGCTCCGGCTCATCATCGGTATCCGCTGCTGCTTCTGTTACTCTTTCTTCCATACATGCAACTAAAGCTGTTTATAGTTTCCGATTTCGATCTACAGTTGCAAATCAACTTCTTAAGCCTCAGTTTTCTTCTTCTTCTTCTTCTTCTTCTCGAATTGTCTCGAGAATTTTCGACTGCATTTTCTCAATCTGATGCCATTGATATCCCCATTTTAGGGACCTTACACTCTGCAATGCGATGGCGCATCCAAAGGAAATCCAGGGCGAGCTGGCGCTGGTGCTGTTCTCAGAGATCCCTCTGGCAATGTGGTAAATACTCTGTTTCACTTTGATATTTGTTGTTGTTGTTCCTAGTTATCATAAGTTAATCACCAAATTTTGCTATGAATATCCTTAGATAATTAGATAATTTGTTGTTGTTCAGACTTTAAAAACTTCAGAATTTTAAAAACAGGTTAAGTTTCTTTGTTTTAAACACATAATTTGATATAAACTACCTTTGATTCGAAAATCATACACCATCAAAGTTGGGCCTAATTTTTTTTGGGCCTTGTGCATGTGCACCCCCTAATTAGAATTTTCATGAGCTGGCCCTGAATATTAAGGATGATCTTCATAAGAATAATTGAAGGGCATACATGATAAAGTTCTTGAATGTTTGCAGGTTTTCAGGACCAGCCAAGGGTTGGGTAATACAACCAACAATGTAGCTGAATACGAGGCTCTGAAGTTGGGAATGGATCAGGCTCTCAAGTCAGGGTGCACCGACATCCGTGTTCAGACAGATTCTAACCTTGTTTCCCAGCAGGTTTATGTGTTTTAATTATTAAACACAAAGATATACGATCTGAATTCTGAACATTTTATGTGGAACCTTGATTTGTGGCGGAGGAGTATTGTTCAAAGTCATATACGTCGTAAAAGTTTGGAGTCTGAAACCTTTTCTTCTCATACTTTACCAACTTTCTTACCTTGAGGGGTTCTCTGAACAGGTTCAAGGTTCATGGAAGGTGAGAAGTGACAACCTTATTCCCTTGAACAATGAAGTACAGAATATGAAAAACAACTTCAATTCATTTGATATTCAGTATGTTCCAAGGGTAAGAACAATGCGTCAAGTTGTTAATTATTGTCCCCTTTTGGCTTAATGATATTCACATTCTTCTGATATGTGTTTATTTATTTGTTTTCCCATAGGAAATGAACTATGATGCTGATAGCCTAGCGAACGCCGGAGTTAATCTTCCTGGTGAGTCTCCAACTTTTCACTTTCAAAGCTCAACAAGCTCTTGTATACTGTACATTTTATGTATTACGGAGTATACTTTTCATTGTTGTGGATTCTGGCTCCTGTTTCAGAGGGGAAGATCCAAACTGAGTATTACGGTGTTGGCCGGAGGTACTAGGCCATATGATATCCGAGGTGGCAGGCATTTTGTGACACTCCATCTCTGCACGTCGTCTTCACGTATGATTGCATGGCTTGGCTATAGTATATTCTAGTGGTCTACTAAACTCCTCTTCTCTTTGAGTAATGACTGAAGTTCTTTCTCAGTTGTATGCATTTTTCAGTTGCATGTTTGAACCCACCCAAGTGATCTTGGTTATTTCAAGTAATTTTCCTGTTATATAGCTAGTATGGAGCTTCCACTTGGTGACTCTCTAGCATAATTGTCTATCAAATGCATTTGTTAAAAATCGAACTCATGTGTATCCTTGTTAGTCTATGCCTTGCCATTTGTGCTATGCTCTTTCTTATAAAAGTTACTTAGAGGGGAAGGGTACTTACCATGCACCGGCCAATCCTGTAATACTGTAATGTCATCTCATTTCTACTCTCAAATACTCACAAACTATTAAATCACTTGCAACACCTAGCCACAACTATCTTGAAATCTTTAATTTTTTTTAAAATTTAAAATAAATAAAACAATTAATGGAACCCATCATGCTACAATTTGGATACAAAATTTGCACCCTAAAGGTTTGCCTTGTGGCATCCTACCCACATAGGTGAGGGTGAATTTGCTTTGTGGTTTGGAAACCATGAAGCTTATTCATGGGGTACCCTGTCCATTCTTTGTGGATACAAGATAAGGTATAGAATTTAAAAGTTTGGGTCTTTTGATGCCCGTGGCGGGCTGTGGGCGGGTTACCCCTTGAGTCTAGCCCCAAGATCGGTCCTAAATAACTTTTTTGTTTGTACTTTTGTTTTTGAGTTAGAGAGACTTATAGAAATAATTTGCCTCATTATCTCTAATTTTGGGATGGATGTATACATTCGCTTCGTCCCATAAAGTTTTTTACCGTATAGTAACTTTTTTGTTAAGCCTTATACTTTATTAATTTTAACCATAAATTATAAAAAATGCATTTAGTTATACAAATTTAAAATAATTGGATTAATTTTAAGATGTACGTATAAGGGATGGGAATTTTTATCTTCATTTTTTCTTGAGTATTAGTCTCATCTCATTTGAAAAAGAGATTGGTTCAATCTCACTTTGATCGATTTGAAAAAATGTTGTATACTCTGTAAATATTGATGTACACCTATAATTAAAATAGAAATTTGACCAAAATATTGCGAAGTATGAACACTACTAAGTACTCCGTACAAACTAAAATTTGGAGAAAATATTGAGTACAAACCATTGTCTCTATTAGTAAAACATTTGTTACCTCTTATTTTCTAGAACTTGATAATATAATAAAATAAAACATTCGCCACCTCTTATTTTCTAAATAAAATCATTTTGAATAGGAGGGAGTATATGAAAAGGTGGAACGCCCATCTTGAGCGCCCCCACATTCCGAACTGACATGATCGTGAAGGATAAATCATTGTATAATCTCAATCTGGTTATTAGAGAGGTCTCACTGTGTTTGGTGCGCACAAAGAGCTTTTAGAAAGAGTAGAACTCTCATACTGTAGCTGCCGGAATTCGACCTCAGGACATGTGGGCTTGACATCTTTTCTTTGGACAAGTTGAGTTACCTGAGTGGGTGGAATGAGTATATAATGATGATTGATCATTATAATGATGATTGATCATGTATAGAATATAGATGGAATAGTGCAAATGGTCCAAAAATTTAGTGTCATTGAGTCTCTTTGAGAATAAAGTTGAAGATTAACGTTAACGTTTTTAAAAAGTTATCTACGTATAATATTTAGCGTTAATATTTTTCAAAATAATTTATACCGTTAAAATTTTATTCAAAACGTTAACGTTAATCTCTAATATTATTCCTAAAAACGTCTATTCTTGAAATTTTCGAGATAGTTGTGGTATTATTCTTGAAATTTACCCTAATTTTGACAATATAGATGACAATCAATAGTAAATTTGTATAAACACGAAAATGTAATCGTCTTTGTATGAATAAAAAATGCTACCACCGGTATCCCCAAAAGTGTACTCAACGTTTATCCACCACACACTCTTACATTATGTTTGGTTCAAGAAATTTGGAAGGAAAATAAAGAAAATGATTTTCTTTCATTTTTCCTCACCAAAATGAGAGGAATTTGGTTTTCTCTCCTATTAACATATTTTTCCTTCTAATTTTTTTTTCCTTCTACTTTCCCTTTTTTCTTCTAACCTAACAAGAAAACTATTTCCACTTCATTTTTTTTCTTTTTTCCTTTCAAATTCCCTTGAACCAAATATAGTTTTAGTGCTTCTAAAAAAATTTAATGAGTTGGATAAACTTTTCCGTCCCAAAATGATTTACCTTTTTCCTATTAAAGTTTTTCGATAACTTTTTTTGTTTGCATATATAAAATAAAATATTCTTAGCACTTCTTATTTTATAGAACTTTTGCTATAATTTTTTTATATATAATTTTTTTTATTTCAACACTAAATTATAAATAAATTATTCCAAATATTAGGAGATTTTGCACGTTGATCGTAAGACTAAAATCATTTTAAAAATTTTAAAGTCCTTTTTTTAGTAGACGGTCCGGGTTAGAAAAGAAAGCCAAAAAAGGAAGGGAATACAGCGTTGACCCACCCAATAGTTTTTTCTCTCTCTCTCTCTCTCACACACACAGCCCCACGGCGTTAATTTGGTCCCGGCAGAGCATCCATTTTCATCTCCCGCTTCCATATCCACACGTTCTCCAGAACTTGAAATCCTTCTTCTTCTTCTTCTTCTTCTTCACCGGAGATGCTAATCGGTCACTTTATTCTCCCTTTCTTCTACTTCTCCGTACAATCTTCTTGACCTGTAATCTAGCTCGCGCTCGTATTCTATATACAATACATCCCCCACCGCCCGCTTTACAAGCGCCGAGGTTTATATGGATTCTTTGTCTCTGGATGATATAATCAAGAGGTTGCTGGAGGTCAGGGGAAGACCTGGGAAGCAAGTTCAGCTCTCCGAGTCTGAGATCAAGCAGCTGTGTACGCGTTCCAAGGAGATTCTGTTGCAGCAGCCCAATCTTCTCGAACTCGAGGCCCCCATCAAGATCTGCGGTATGAATTTAGGGTTCGATTCTGTTATTTCCCTGTTTGGAGTTGTCTCTTGTGATGGTGCCTTTTGAGTTGTGGTTGAATTTTCCGTGTTTTGGTCATGATTGATTACGCCGAATTGAAGTTGAGTTGTAGTCGAAATTTAGGGGTTTTGGGCGGTGAGATTGGTTGTTGTTAGTCTTGGACTAGAAAATAACTATGTGTTTGGTTAAATTTTGTATAGTTCTTTAGAGTTTTTTCTCCGAACATCTCTCCGAAATCCCCTAACCAAACAAGGGCTAAGGTTATGTTCAACTTGATGCTTGGATTCAACATGGGCTGAGTGTATTGATAGTTTATAGGAAAATGCTAAAACCCCCCACCCTTGCTACCACCCATGCACCCCCTACATAAACATGTGGTAGGGAGGCAAGAAAATTAAAATTAGAGGGTGGGTGGAGAATAGGTAGAGATAAATATGTGGTAGAGAAGTGAGTGGAGGCAAAGTTGGTAGCAAGGGTGGGGTGTGTGTAACATGGTCCTAGTTTATAATTTCTGCTAGTTGTACTGTATTCATATAAAAATTTGTACCTTATTGAAACATGACTATTCTTATGTGACTGAGGGAGTAGCTATTAATGTATTTTATTAGTGAAACCAAAAAGTTGAATTAAAATAACAGTTGATCATTCAGCTTTAAAAGGATTATTATCTGCATTTTCTACTATTTTCCATATAATTGAGCTTCATGTGTACAGTTTGCTTTTGCTATGTTACTATGTTAGAAACTATTGTGTTTTCCAAGTCAAGGTGCTATAAATTCATCTTTAAGATGATTGGGTAAGGCACCTTATTCAATTCGACAATGACCACTTTTCTTTTCATATCAATTTAAAGTTCCAAATACGGAGCATGTCTTATTGGTATTTCTGCACCCTACACTGTACTTTTGAGGTGCTTGTCATAATGCTAGAACTTATTTTTGTTGCAATCGCCTTGTAAGGTGTACACACACACACTCACACCCAATGAAGCATTTGTTCTATTCTTTACATCTTCATCCTAAAATACTATATTTTTTAACAGTTTTACATGTATTGTGATTTTTAATGAAAAAGAATCAAGCATGACTTATTTTTACAAAATCATCCATTTGAGAGGGTCGGGACTTCAAATCATTTCAAAAAGTTAAAAGGCTAGTAAGAGTGGATTGGGAAAGTAAAAACTCAATTGTGTTTAGATAATACAATGAAAGTTTTTTTTGAACGGACTAAAAAAAAATGAGCAAAATAAAATAAGGCAGCGGGAGTATTTCTTTCAGCTCTTATGCAAAATTCCATTATAAAATAATGCATCAGGGGTATAATTAGGTCCTCTTCGTGATCAAACACTTATGCAGGGGATATTCACGGCCAGTATTCCATTATAAAGGTCCTCTTGTTTTGATTAAGTGATCGCTTTCAGCCCTTCCATCATGATCCCTTCACAGTTACATCAATCCAGTGATATTGTACTTAGTTTGTGTTTTTTGTTGCAGGGGATATTCACGGCCAGTATTCTGATTTACTAAGGCTCTTTGAATACGGTGGCTTACCTCCAAGTTCTAACTACCTGTTCTTGGGGGATTATGTGGACCGCGGGAAGCAAAGTCTAGAAACGATATGCCTTTTGCTTGCATACAAGATAAAGTATCCTGATAACTTTTTCCTTCTGAGGGGCAACCATGAATGTGCTTCTGTAAACCGTATATACGGATTCTATGACGAGTGCAAAAGGAGATTTAATGTTCGGTTGTGGAAAATATTCACAGATTGTTTTAACTGCCTGCCCGTGGCAGCACTGATTGATGAAAAAATTTTGTGCATGCATGGTGGGCTTTCTCCAGATCTGCATGATTTGGATCAAATAAGGAACCTGCAACGACCTACGGATGTTCCTGAAACCGGTTTGCTTTGTGATCTACTGTGGTCTGATCCTAGTAAAGATGTGAAAGGGTGGGGGATGAATGATAGGGGGGTCTCCTACACTTTTGGTCCTGATAGGGTTACTGAGTTTCTTGAGAAACAAGATCTTGATCTCATTTGCCGTGCTCATCAGGTCTTGTCCATATATAGTTTGTTTTATAATGTTTATATAGGGTTTCTTTGGTTGGCATATTTTGGAATGGATTGGAGTGTCGATTTTATTTATTTGCTTATAATAATTTGTTTCTATTCGTTAGTCTTCAGTTAGAAGATAATTAGTTCCTCCGTCTCAAAATAAGTGCTTTTGAACTCTTATATTTTCTCCTAAAAAAGGGTCAAGTTTAAGTTATTTTTTCATGGGCCTAGGTGTCAAAAAATTTCATAGGTAACATACATATTATAAATTTAGTCAAAACGACAAAGAAATTTAAAGTTTTAAAGTACGGTTCATTATTTAGCCAACATGTACCGTACCAAATTTTAAAACCTGGACATTGGTCACACATCATTCTCTTTTTGGGGTGGGGCTAGTTTATGTTTGGTTGAATCATGTTTTTCTATTTAACCTTCTTTCATCTTCACTTCTTTTTCCAATCATTTAATTAGAAGAGTAAATTGATAATAAAATGAATATCACCCTCTCGAAAATCCCCCAATCATCTAACATCTTAGTCTTATTATCTTTCTCCTTACTATAATGCAGGTTGTTGAAGACGGATATGAGTTTTTTGCTGATAGACAACTCGTAACGATATTCTCCGCTCCTAATTACTGTGGGGAATTTGACAATGCTGGTGCCATGATGAGCGTCGACGAGACATTGATGTGCTCTTTCCAGATATTAAAGCCTGCAGAAAAGAAGCCTAAGTTTTCATTTGGTAGCACTACAACGGCTAAGCCAGGAAACTCTCTAACGAAAGCAAAGGTAGTCTCTCTCTCTCTCTCTCTCTCTCTACTCTCTCTCTAGCATTACAATTTGCAAAGGAATTGAGGTTTATTGATGAAACATTGCGTCTTTCTGATTATAAAATGTATGCTAGAATTTGTGTGAGATAAACAAATATAACACTTATGTTAGTATGGCATTAGCACTAGGTCAATGTTCTGTGGTTGCAAGGTGGGGTTTTACTCCGCAGTCCTTACCCTAAAGAGTGAAGACACAAAAATAATGTGAGGAGAGCATGCAATGTATGAATATCTTAAAACTCAATCCTTGTGCATATGAATATTCTGTAGTCATTGAAAAATTAAGGCTAGAAGACAAAATTTGCGTTACTGCTATTCAGATATACCCGAGTAAATTATTTTATTTCTTTTTTTGAAACATTAGTACTGATGGGAATATTGAGACCGGTCTAAATATGTATATGTATAATGGGTTGGTAAGAGAATGCAGCCCACGTGAAATGGATTGGGCTAATCTGACCGAGAAGTGAGGCGGGGAATTAGTCACATGGCATGTTGAGGTAAGCACTAGGGTTAGGAGACTCAGAGGTGATTACCTATGTTCTCCTTGTGTCCCCATGTCTTCCAGGGACGTGAGAGACAGTTTCGTGCGGTTTGTTAGCCTCGTGATACCTAAAAACATACTTATCCTGGAGTGGAGATGGGATTGCACTCTAGAAATGCAACGGGCTTTATTGAGCTTCTTCTCCCTTACATTCTATTGCTTTCGATCCAATTGTTACGTCATTGTTCTGATATTCTGGTGGATTACCGTCAAATACAATCTTGGTTCCAACTGATGGTATGTCGTGGATGTAGTTATATGCATCCTTTTTTGTAAAACTGAAATAAAATGGCTTTCTAGGTGCTTATAAAGAACCCAATTGCCAATTGATAAGAAGAAACATTCTTCTATCAAACATGGACCGATTGTGCTTCTGAGGAGTGAAGTAGTTGCCCAAAAAACTTTACAACAACATGTTTCATCACTTAGTTCATGCTCCAACAAATCTTTTCTTTTTGGTACCACTTTTTTTTTTCTTGTCATCTAAATCTGGCATCGAACATACTAACACTAGATTTTTTTATGCATTTGTGTGTTCATTTGTTTATTGACAGAACGGTTTTTTTGTTGTCTGTAGTCTCTTCTTGGTAGAGACTGAAAGAAATGTGGCCAGAAGGATGTAGAGCATATGACGGCCAACCAGCCCACGGGACGATAACATTGCATTTCCCTGAATTTCTGTAAGAACTTGTTTTTTTTCTTGCTTAGGTGCATCTGTAAAAAAAAAAAATTACTTGTAGTAGCCTGTCTGGCGGGTGGTTACGACTTTGGCCCTTTGGCTTAGACTCGAGAAACGGTTTTACTGACCTTTTAAAAAACTGTAACCAAGGGAACCTATTTGGTGTGATCTCATATACTTTGGACAAAAAAGTTGGCATTATTAATCTTGTAATAAGTGGCGACAGTAATCCAATGCTCCATAAGCTGAAACTGAATTGTCTAGTCTTGGGAACAGTATAAGTAGACTCATACAAACAAAAAAAACACAACATAAATGAGTGACCTACTTTATGTTTAGAGTGTTTTTGCACTTTAGTAAATCTCAACATGTTTTGATTTATTTCATATTTTACGAATTTAATATCAGTCACACAATTCATACATCTCCTCTCAAGTTACATGGACATGACTCAAGTTCATTTGCTTTGATTTCTCAGGTTGGTTAACTTTAAAAAAATAAAAATAAAAAATTGACAAAACCTATGGAGAAAACTGGACCCAAAGAGCCTTAAATCCCACACACACACACACACACATCAGAAGTTTGATCATATCAAGGCATATAATTACTGCGCACTCTGCCTTTCTTTACTTCAGACATGTGGCTGACTCAAAGTCATACCTGGCAGCATTTCATTTTTAATGAATTTTTTTTTGTAACAGCAAACAAAAAACAAAGCACAAAGAACACATTCATAAATTAGCTCTGGTATAATACTAATACTAATATTCATTAATGGGAAAAGTGTGGAGTAATATGTCCGAGGATTATGGTAATGGCAACACTAATACTAATACTCCTTAATACTCCGTAGTAAATAGTGTGGAGTACTAATGCACTAATAGTACTAGTATCATCTCACGAGCAAAGTAAACAAACAATATATACATTGGATTATTACTCCTACTACAATAAACTCCATATAGTACTAGCTACTCCCCCCCCCCCCC